TTTGCGAACCGAGAGGTTTGCGGCCCGAGCCGAAGGCGAGGTCCGTAACGAGATTCGTAAAGGAGACTTTTCGAACGAGTATCGGAAAACTGCTTTTTTGCCCGAGTAAGTACCAGCCTCCCAGAACCACCCGAGGGCGGAAAAATAAATTACGCATAAGCAAATACGTTAAATACACTTACTTTTGGAGGATTAAACGGATAAGTTTCTGGAATTTTTATTTCAAGAACAAAGTTTCCCCCTTCATATGGAGTATCTGGAGGTCCAGCTATTTCACCTTTGAGTTCCACACAACTGTCATTAACAAGTTCTACTTTGATGGAGCATTGTGCCACCTAAGATAGATTCATATAAATATTGGAAAATATTTTTAAAATACTTAATTATTAGTAACTTGCAACTCTTATGTTATTTTCTTTAAGGTACACTTATAATACACAATCAAAGCTGTTCCAACATTACATTTTGTAGAAATATTTCATTGAATAATTAAGCTCTATTAAACAATAATAATAGGTATTGATATGTTGTATAAATCACTTTTATAGAAAACGTTTGTAATGTACAGTTCTTTAAAATTACAACTTTTTATGTTTATAGTAAACAGGGCTAAAAATAAATTCTTAGTTAAAATTATATACATGTTGTTAACTATTTCAAGACGGATACTTTACATGGATTGATAATTAATATTAATAAATAATATTTCAACACAAGAAATAATAAGAACTGATCCTTGACATTATTTGAAATATTTTTGCAGTGCATTATAACATAGTATAAGAAACTGCCTGTATAGTATAGTATAAGAATTAGCATGAAGAAACTGCCTGTTCTGATAAATATTTTTATCACATGCAGATTATCCTATGAACTGACATAAGAGGGAACAAATAGAGAACACATCATAAGTAAGTTTGTTACTTTTGAAGATTGGAATTGTTCAAAAAACTATTTTTTTAAATAGATAGAAAGAAATGTAAGTATTCAATCTAATAAATTGTGCTACGACATCAATTTAAAACCACACTTTGAATTATCAGTCGTAAATCAGTTGTAACTAAAAGGCAGTTTTTATTATGTAAACACTCCCTTCAAAAACAGATCAGCCAGACAATCTGGCAACTAAATATCACATGTACAAAGTTACAGTGTATGATATTATAAAAGGCAAAACAGTAAGAAGTTGACAAAAAATTGCGGGCCTTTTGTAGCATTTTTTTGTGAACTCATTTTTTTTAATACAATTGCTAGATGCGCAAAAACAGCACAATCAACGTGACAATGATTTGCGCTCGCTTGTATTTATAAGAGAATGTTTTTAAAGTACGATACCGGCGTTGAATTTGGACTCTCGTTTCGTTTTACACTCACCTTACTATCATTAGCTTGCATAAGTATTCATTGATTTCTCTATTCTCTCACGACTAAGTATTTTACAAAATAAATTACACAACTATTAACGGTTGATCGATCAATCATAGATGATTTGTCCAAAAACACGAGTCATGAGTATAGCGTCACAACGCGCACGTAGATGGGGATTTTGATCGAAATCGAGCTATGCTGAGCTCGATGGAGTATTCCTCGCGTTACAAAACAGGTGATACACAAGTTGAGTAAAGCTACAACTGTCCAGTCATCACTAACTAAAGAGTTGCTCTGTAGCACGTTCCAAGTCCCAGTTGTAGGAGGAAAGAGCGACTCGCGCCTTGTGCTCCTCAACACCCATGTCGGTCAAGCGCCTGATCTTTTCATCCAGCTCTGGCATTTTTGATGGCCCTATATAATTTTTTAATTTATTTTAGTCATACAAAGAGTAAATAACTGAATTTTTTTGTTATCCAACTCACCGCCAGCATATACAGATGTCCAATGTTTTGCTGTTTGGCGAAACATTTCTGGTTGCTCTTTGTATTGCTTTGCCACCACAGCATCTTGCGGATCGTCTGGTTCAGCTGCTGACAAAAGAGCTTGCAAAGATAATAATACAGTTCGCAGAGTCATTGCCGCTGCCCTGCGAAACAAAGAAATTTATGAACTTTTGCCAACACAGTTATATGACATGTTTAAATTTATTCATGAGAATATTCAAATAGTATTTGATATTTTTAGATTACGAAACTGGATTTTTTTGCTTGAAGTACGGGTAAACTTTACATACAAACTAATTTGTAGTGAAGGTAAAAAAAGTTGAATTACGGTTTTTAAAATCAGCATCAAATTTCACAACATAATATT